AAAAAAATCCATATTTGTGTATACTAAGAATACTGTTCATTCATATTGACTGGGACATGGCCATTCTTTACTCTTGTCCTAAGGTAAAAGAGAGAGAGATCGAACTACACGCATTCACTGGCTTCTCCTCCATTGTTCTCTAAAACGGAGATATGGTATTACATGGCCTGTGCCAGTAACCGCAGAGTGACAAAATCCGTGGGGTGCCGTTTGGAGAAAAAAAAATGTAGGGAGTGAAGGATGCTGGTGGAAGACAGAGGAGTGCATCTGGAGCTGATAAGCTTTGCTGAGAACCACATGATTGTGGTACTTCAGGAGGAGGCGGCAGTGAATGTACTGTCTGTTACATAGTCATCTCCTCCCTGACAAATGGCTCCAACGTTTTTTTCCCTCTTTTCCCTTTCGGCCCGCGAAAAGGGGGCCAACAAAGGAGGGAGTGTTCCTCATGCCATCTCTCCTCACAGGGTTAGTCCTGTGGATTATCCCATACTGAACCATTCCCATTGATATTATCATGTCCCATGCACTTAGTTCCAGTGAAACCCATTAAACTGCAGGAAAGTGTTGTGGGATTGTGTTTTCGCTTGCATTTTACTTTTCAGTTTGACTTTCATCAGAGCTTCGGGTGGTTATACATCAAGCTGAGCTTGTAATGAGTAATATTCTCAATTAAAGGGGTCATATAATACAATTTCAAGTTTTCCTTGCTCTTTGGAGTGTTACAAGCTGTTCGTGAATAGATAAGATCCCTAAAGTTGCAAAGACTAAAGTCTCAAACCCAAAGAGATATTCTTTATAAAAGACGTCTACGTCACTGTGTGGGAAGATTTGCATAACACCTCCCAAATGTTCACGCAAAGAAAGAATGCGTAACTTTGATTCTTGCTGTAGTATTGTTGCAACCGCCGCCATGTCGTGTGTGACGCTGTGAAAGCGAAACTACTTTGTTTGGCCTTCCAAAAGAGGACACGACTAGAAATCAGTGGTTCAAGTTGTATTTACAACACTGTTCCAGAACAGTTCAACCCAAATATTCAGATGTGTGCAGCGCATTTTATGGAGGACTGTTTCCTGATCCTGGGAGAGTAGCCTGCAATGCCGGCTATTCTGACTCAGCCTGTAAGTACGTTTTCATATTTAAAAATTTGCCACTGATGATTCAATAGCGAATTTTGAGCAGTGTAGAGTAGCGCTTTGTGTTTCTCCGATCACAAATGCAGACATGGTTTTATGTTTACGCGGCGCGAAACGCAACGCGTAAAAAGACAGTATAAGTCATTATAATCAGTAATTATGCCCCCACTGGATGCAACAAATGCCTCGTTTGTAATGGGTTTTATTGGTTTTGTCTCGTCGCGCCGGGACACGGCATCACAGTATGGTAAGAGGCGTCACATTTCTGTCACACGTTTGAGGTATTCGGCAACGCACTGGATAGCTGACCAATCAGAGCACACCACGCTTTTCAGAACGATGAGCTTTGTAAAAATCGCCGCGTTTCAGAAAGGCGGGGCAAAAATTATGTGTTTTTTTTTTTTACCTTAAACCGCATAAACACCAAATACACAAAATAATGTTATTTTTAGCAACGTCATATGACCCCTTTAAATCAGTGAAATGGCTGCATTGTCGAAATGGTGGAATAGTGAAATTTGAACTCAGGAGGGAACAACAAACAGGAAATTTCCTAATATTGACGGTACACTCATAAAAATACCTAATAAGTAACATTGTGCTACCATTATTTTAATTGTCATTGTACTATTGTATTCTTTGAAATATGTTTGAGTACAAAGTAAACTGGGACGCATGAAATGATAATCATTTAGTTCTTCTTTCACTTAATAATTCTATATATTTGGTGTAATATAGACAAAAATGTTGGGATGTATCTCACCTGTACTGTATGTTCTTATACTTAGGTGCCAGTTTGAGCAGGTCTGAATCTGAAAATGGCTGAAAGATCACAGCCAACCAGTCTATTGAGACAAAGTGAGCTAATTCCAGTAGCAAAAGCTTGCTCAAATAATGGTGTTTATGGCTTCCAGTAAAACTAAGGAGGTAGTTTCAGGGTCCAGACGTTGAAGATAGACAGATCTTAACCCACACTCTCCATATGGTGTGAATATACAGCCTTTTCATCCCTTTTCCTCTCGGTGTCTTGGGCCTTTGCCTTGTTTAGATTATGACTTTAAAAAGAGTTAAAATACTTGTCATATTTATCTGCGCTTCGTTATGGAGCAAAAGGTCTCTCTGGATTTATGTGGTTAAGGTAATGAGGGAAGTATACATCAGATGTTTTATAAACTGAGATTGCCCTATGACATGTTATTAATCATTAAAGGCCCATTCACATTGTGCCAACACTGTCCAATGCATTGAACTTTATGAAGTAAGCTATGACTACAGCATTACTCTAGTCATCGTTGTCATTCAGTGCTCAAAGTTCAATCAATTTTTGCCATTTTTGAATTGAATGATTTTTGTGATTTTCACATAATTTTGGCAACAAGAAACTGTCAGACATTATGAATACCTTTTTTCTTTGAACAGGTACATTCACACAAATCAGGTACTTAAAAGCTTATCCAATCAAAAGTAAACTAGTAAACTGTTAAGCTAAAGAATTCATCTTAAGTTTAAGAAGAGAAAGCGGACAGATCGAGTCATCAAAGGTTGCTGCAGGACACAGTGATGATACCACAGCAGACGACTCTGATAAAAACAGAGGCCTGCGTTGTACGGATAGAGGCCAGAGATGGCTGTGATTGGCTGTTGGCTGGACTGCTCTCCTGAGCTGAAGTTTCAGGTTACGATACTTCATTAAGTCTCTGATTAATGGCTTCATAGTGGAGTTATTACCCTCTTGTTGTGGTGACCCCAGCTCATGTTCATTAGCCCAGTAATAAGGCGCTGGTCTGGGGAGCGTGTCCCTGACACATGACTATAGGAGAGAGAGAGAAAGAGACTTGGTTCAGGGGTCGTCTTGTGGCTCTGATTGAAATAGCCGTGTATTTAAGCAGCAATGTTCCCCTGTCTCTGTGTTAGTATTCAGAACTGACTGATCATTAATCGCAGAACTGAGATCCTTTTCCAGCAGTATGGTAATCAGACTAATCAAGACTTGAGTGAAACTTTTCAACCTCTTAAAAGATACTAATCAATGTATTAACTGAAATGTTGGCTTTTGATGTCCAGTGATTGTATTATTGCAGGTGGTTTAGTGCCTTGAAAGTATCTGCTTTCCATTTTATTTTCTACAATAACACTGTAGTTAAGGGTGGGAATCACAAGAAATGTAAAGCTAGTGAATTTTTCCTGACTATTTATTTATTCAGTATTCATAGTCTTTTTTAAATGTGGCATACAGTAAGTGCAAACCAATTATTGTCTTTAACTGTATTAAATAGTACTGAAAAAGATGTGGTAACATTTAATTTATTCTATTGTTTTTATAAAATACCACTGATTAAATAACTCACAAGTCGTTAGCTGTATGTGTTTGATTCACTAAAAAGAACCAAATGATAAGAGTCATTTATTCGTGAATTGGTTGGAATACACTGGTTGCACTGTATGGTTTTGATTCACCAAAAAGAACCTGCTCATCAGAATAATTTGTTCGCAAATCATTTTGATCACCCTGGGTGTGTTGTATGACTTTGATTCACTATAAAGAACATCCTCAAAAGAGTCATTCATTTGGGAATCAGACTACTCACTTTATGCTGTATGGCTTTGATTCACCAAAAAGAATTGTCTCAAAAGAGTTATTTGTTAGCGAATTGGTTGGATTCGGAAAACCCTGGTTGCACTGTTTGGTTTTGATTCACTAAAAAGAACTGACTCATAAGAGTTATTTACTCGGGAATCTGACTACTCACTTCATGGTGCGTGGTTTTGATTCACTAAAAAAACTGACTCAAGTAATTTGTTTAGGAATCGGACTTCTCACTTCAGACTGCATGGTTTTCATTCAGAAAAGGCTTATGAGAGTCATTCAGGAATCAAACTACATTGATCGCAGAATGAGTACTATATGTTTTACCCTGTAGATTCAGTAGCAGTGTTGCAATAGCAATTGCAATTGCAACAACCAATAATGAAACACAACATCATTCGATTTCTGTATATAAATAAATGGAATCATTTCTGAATAAGAACCGGTTCTTGATATTTATGTAGTATTTCTCTGTCAGGCCGCAGTCAATCACACAATCAGTCATATGTATTTCTAAATTTTCCAAATAATCTCCAGTCCAACCATCAAACACTTTTTGTCTTAATGCATTTAAACTTCAAACCAGATTGGCCTGCGTGTCCTGAGTGTAAATAAACTCAACCTGCCTTTATTTTTACCCCTCCAGCTTAGTTTATTTTGAGTCCTTTTAAAAAAACCACCTCACATATGAGGTTGCTACCAAACCCTCTTAGAAGCTGTATTTTTTTAGAGGGGGGACGAATGAAAGAAAAGAGAAGCATGTTTTCTTTTTCTGTGGTTTGTTTTCCAGTCACTTTAAAATGAACTCTGGGTGCATGACGAGAAGGCCGCAGATGGTGCGGTGTGCGATGGGAGACAGTCGTAGTTTTTGCTTTACAGATGACTGGAGAGCGCTATGAAAACATGCCTTTTACACTTCTGTCCTGCTGCTGTCACACCACGACGAAAAGGGCAGTTTTGCAAGTAAAACAAAATATCGTTGTCTCCTTGCTTCTCAGTAATTGGACTCCTGAGATCATTGTAAAAGTGCTTAGTAAGGGTGCTACAGAGAATTTGGTGTGAAAATATGTAAGCATGAGGGCACGTTTTATGTAAGTCTCAATAAAAGACAGAGGGAAAGTTCAAGACTAAGGATGTCACAACAAAAGGTTGCACTTTTCGCTCTAGTGCACTCTGTTTATGATGCTGTAATATAAAACTGCTGCTCCCACAATCCTTAACATAGTCTTCATCTCCCACCTTTTGTCCTAAAGATTTTGTTTTGCCATCTCTTTTCCAGTCTCCAGTGGTGTCGGTGGGTTTTGCTCGGTTTCATCCTAACCTGTTGGTGGGTGGCACATACTCGGGGCAGATTGTTCTCTGGGACAACCGAAGTCACCGAAGAACGCCGGTTCAGAGGACCCCCCTGTCCGCTGCAGCACACACAGTAAGTGAACCTACAGATACAGTCATCAATTACACTCCATCATGAATTCAGTTAAGTCTTTTCAAAGAGTCTTATTCTGTGGAAAACAAAAGGAGTTTACCCAAGCCACCCTTTTACATACAATGAAAGTGAACGGTGACTATGACTGTCAAGCATGATTTTTGGTGAGTAACAACTTAAATCTTAGTCTGTTTCCTACACAAAGCTCAAAGAGTCATTTCATGTGAAAAAGTTTGCTTAATTGTACTGAATGTTCAGTTGTAGTGTATTTCAAGTCTTAAATGTATATTTAAAAAAAAAACTGTCCTTGCAGATAATTAATGAAATAAAAGGCCTCTTAAGTGTACTTTCATTTTTTAACACACTTAAGTACACTTTTAAAAATTGCACTTAATAATTGTCAAATTAAAGGTTCACTTTAAAGTACATTTTAATACATTTTGTAGTTTGATTTTTTTTAATAAACATACTAAAGCATGTGTAAAGTACTTGATTATAATTTTATAATCATGTGTTATACACTTTTACAGTTAAAGATTTAAATGTAATATTTTAAATGTACTAAATTGCAGCTTCATCATTACAAATGTCCAATTACAAATAAATTTAAATGCATTTAAATACACATTTTACTGATTGACAGTATATTCGGCAATGCACTTTTACCAAAAATTATAAGATTACATATAAAGATGTGCTTAAATCTTATTTATAGTAAGTGGATCAAAAAGCACTCTTAAGTTCAACTAATTTCATTTAATATAAATTTACCTTTTTTACATTTTAATTTATTTGCAGCTAATGCATTTTAGAGTCTAAAAACATTACGTTCAGTTCACACTTAACTACATTCCTTTAAAGTATATTATTTACATCATAAGTACTCTTTTTTTTAAAGTATGCTAAATTGTACTACTATATTAAACACTTTTGTGGTGCTTTTTTGTCTATTTTGATTTCCATTTACTTTTATTGTATGGAAGAGAGCAGCATAAACATTCTTAAAAAGAACAAAGAAAATCATACAGGTTTGGAACAACATGAGGGTGAGTAAATGATGACAGAATTTTCATTTTGGGTGAACTATCCTTTTAACCGGATAATCACACTATTACATGATGCTGGTAGCAATCAACCCCTCAACGTTTTCCTGACCTCATCTTCCCTCTGTGCAAAAGGCCGCCCACTGTCTACCCAGGGCTAGACTCAGTCTGTCAGCACAGTCAGGCTCAATGAGCCCCATCTAACTCCTTGTCATGCAATAAAGACAGTACAACCTAGTAGCAGAGAAAAGGGACGTCCATAGACCCTTATTGTTCTCAGCTGCCACACACATGGCCCCTGAATGCCATACATGCTGAGGGTTTAAACTCCCGTGCCCTCAATAATGAAAGCCTATGTCTCGACTGCCGTCTCACCAGTCCACCAGCCCGTCTGAAAGAGCCCATTGTTGGTCAAAAAACAAAAATCAAATTGTCGACAATAACGACATAATGGATTTACACAGTTGACTGTATTTGCAGACGGGCAGATGCTCAGGCCAGGTTAGTTCACAAGCTAGGTATTGTCTCTATATAGACATTCAGTTCATAGCTTTCATTAAGGGACCATTCATAGATGTTTGCTCTCCATGTATAACACTTTCTTGAATTTCTCATATTTGTCAGACAATTGTAGGTGACATACTGTAAATGCATTTTTCTCAAAGCACCCTGTTTACTGCGTCAATGTGGTCGGCACTCAGAACGCCAACAACCTGATCACGGTGTCCACAGACGGCCGAATGTGCTCCTGGAACCTGGATATGCTGTCACAGCCTCAGGTCAGTGCTGATATTACACCAGCATCCATCGCGTCTGTATAAAAGTCTGCTTGCTCAATCCATGTGTGTCTGTTGTAGGAGAGCATGGAGCTTGTTTATAACAAGTCTAAGCCGGTGGCTGTGACTGGGATGGCCTTCCCCACTGGAGACGTCAATAATTACATTGTTGGCAGTGAGGAGGGAACAGTGTATACAGCATCCAGACATGGCAGGTGAGTGGCACATACATGCATACATTTGACAGACTGTCCATGATAACCGTTAGACACTTAGAAGTGCTTTGGGTGATCCGATCAGAAGTGGTCAGAGATAAATAAAGTATAACTGGTGTCCAAACCATTCAGAGGTAGTCGGAAACGCATGTGGCCATATTTTTTGATCTCATTTGTAGTGATGTCCATCCTGAACTGCCTACTCACCTGTCAATCAAAACAAGCATTTTAAACTTTGTTGTTGGCTTTCTGATCAAAACATTTTTTTTATTCCTTATTTATAACACATTTTAACTATTTAAAATCAAACCCAAGATCCACTCAGAATCATAAGGTGAGGAGATAAAAAAAGGTACAAAAAAAAAATATATATAAAATTACAAAAAAATATATAAATGATGTGCCCGAAAAGATAAAACTCATGACCAAAACAAAATACAGATGAGTACATGTATAACTTAAGATCTCAAAAGATCCAATGAAGTCACAACAAGGTCTGACCAAAATTGTATTGTCTTTCCGGTGGCGCCATGCACTTTATCCATGGGTAATATTTTTTAATGAGCCACAGTAATATTTTTAATGTTTTTGAAAGATCCTTCAGAAATCATGTTCATATGCTGATCTGGTGCTCAAGAAACATTTCTTCTTATTATCAATGTGAAAAAAGTTGTGCTGCTTAAAAGTTTTTGGGAAACCAGAGTATGTGGAATATTTTTTCAGGATTCTTTGATGAATATAAAGTACAAAAGGGCAGAATTTATTAGAAAGAAATTTGTAATTTTGTAAATGTCTTTATATTGTCACTTTTGATCATTTTAATTGAATGTATTTCAAGATTTTATTAAGAATATCAAAACTTATTAAAATTATTATTGATACCTTTGTGTTGTTTCCCTTTTGTGTTGCTCCACAGTAAAGCTGGCATCTGTGAGATGTTTGAGGGCCATCAGGGGCCAGTGACAGGCATCAGTTGTCACAGTGCTGTGGGTCCTGTCGATTTCTCCCACCTCTTTGTCACCTCTTCTTTTGACTGGACTGTAAAATTGTGGAGTACAAAGGTAAGAAATAATATCCTCTACACCTTTTAAGCATCATCAGCGTGCCTCACTCTTCTCTATTGCCTAACCCTAAACACACTGCAAGATGTACTAAATGAATTTATGCATGACTAATAATCAGTTTTAATAAGACTTATGGACTCATGGACTGGAATTAGCCACCATTTAAACATTAACTGTGCATCATCAATGAATTCATTCAAGAGTCTGAAGTTTTGTAGCACTTCTGTTCGTTCAGTGATACTTGAATGTTTAAACATGCAATTATTTGCACCTTCCCGTTCTAACAGCAGCAAACATTTTTTTGGTTTGAGGTTTTTCAGAAACCTCATTCAGAACATTCAGAAAGTACAAATAGTGAGTTATAAATTTTTTTAATCCATGTTTTTGTCTTGTTTTCCAGTAACAAATATCTAAAATGACCCCACTGACGTTGTTTTTTTTTTTTTTTATATGCATATATGTATAAAAAAATACAGTAAAAATTGAAATTACAGTAAAATTCTTATTATCTTAGACAATTTTTGTTTTCAAGTAAATGCATCTTGTGTTAAGGAGGTATCTTACTGGAAAGCAAGATAAAAGATAAAAGAAAAATGTTTATGCTTTTTATGTTTATGAAACCCTAATATGAAATGTACAAACCAGGCAAAATACACACACAGTCTCCAACATTAATGTAGGTACATCTTTTTACAGCATTTTAAGTCCTGCTTTGTTAATGAAGACAGCATCTTGACATTGTCTTGTACATGCAACTAAATCCATTCTGTGTCCAAAGCTTTGAGACCACTGGACAGCGGCTTTTTTGCCTTGGAGCTTAATCTGCAAGTTCAGAAATGAATGATTGAGTCTCTTGATTGGGGTTCAAACCACATGGACCAAAGCGATTGAGCAAGAGCTGGTTAGGGTGGGAGACGTATGGACATGGTTGTGCTCACAGATACTGCAATCTGTGTCTGGAGATACTGGCTCAGATCACATTAGCCACAGAGTGAGGGAAGCATGAAGGCCAAGTATGAATAAAAGATGGACGTAGAAGGAATGTTAGGGGAGAAGAGAGAGGCACGAATTTAAAAAAAGCGATGGAAAAGTGGGATAGCTTGAAGAAGAGACATCAATGACACAACCTTGGTAGAAACAGAAAACATAAGTAGTAGTTAAAGGGATGGTTAACCCAAAAATGAAACTGCTGTCTTCATTTTCTTACCCTGATGTTCTTTCAAATCTGTATAACTTTCATTTTTGTGTGGAACACAAAATGGGAAAATGTGAAGAACGTGCTGGTCGCTCTTTTCCATAAAATTACAATAAATAGGGACTGAAGCTTTTGGTCCGAATATCTTATCTTGAAAGGTGGTCCGAATATCTTGTTTGTTATGTTTTCAGGTCTTTTGAGGTCATATTGTAGCTGTATATATAATTCAAGTAATTTACAGGCATGAGGATGAGATAAGGATGACAGAATTTACAGTAAAGTTAAACATTATTTGTAGTTAGTATGGTTTATTTTTTTAAAAATAAAAATATTTTTTATTCAGCAGGGATACAATAAATTGATCAAAAGTGACGGTAAAGACATTTATAATGTTAAAAAATATATTTAAATTTTACAAATAAATGCTGCTTTTTAAAATTTATTACATTTTAAAATATATTAAAATACAAAACATTATTTTAAATTGTAATATTTCATAATATTACTTACTGTTTTTTTTTACTATATTTTTCATAAAATTAAATGCCACTTAGGTAAGCATACAAGAATTTTTAAATTTTCAAAAAGTTTGAACGGTAGTGTACATTTTTATGAGAACTGTCCCTTTAAAGTGCCCCTATTATGCCATTTTTAAGGTCCCTAATATTGTTTTGGGAGTCTCCTACAATAGGTTTACATGCATGCAAGGTCAAAAAAACGCATTTGTTTTCTCAAAATATGCATTTAATATTGCCTCATTTTCCAACGATTTGTTTGAAGCAGTTCTAAGATTCAGTCTCTCTAAACCCTTCCTTTCAGTGGCGGTTCTAGACCACAGTAACTGGGGGGCCAGGCAGGGGCCACTTGCGCTTTTAGGGGGCACACTTTTAAAATTAATTTTAACCTACTTTCAGTATTATTCATTCAGTCATTTTTCACCATGTCATGTATCACTGCAATCTCTAGAAGTAAGCTATAACAATTTAAACTCAAATGAATGTTTCATTTAGGGTTTCATTTATCTGACAAGTTATTTTGTATTGTAGTGTAGGGCGTCATGCACTCATTATTTTTGTGGGGGCACGAGTGAAGAGGAGGGGGGGAGGCCTCGTCATTCTTGTCATGTGACACACAGCAGCCACGATAGCACTGTATAACTGATATAGGTTTATGTTTTATTTATTTTTTCCTTTTTCTTTGAAATATTCTCAAATGTGTTAACTATATCATGAAATATCTCAATTCTCAAATATGTGTAAGTAAATGCATTTTGCACCTTTATAAATTATGTTAGTTGATCTATAGGCTAATGGATGATGGGCAAAGTAGCCTAATAGTGTAATCTATTAACTATGCATAAAAACCTGTCTTTTTACTTAAATACCAGATATGGGTGTCATACCATAAAATATTTTTAATACGACTGATTATAACACTTTCATGGTACAGAAAGAGAGGAAAGAACATTTACATTAGGGCTGGGTAAAAAATATCGATATCTCAATATTAATCGATTCTCGTTTTTACGGAATCGATTAGTCTAGCCTGTTTTCAGTTAATGGACGGAACGTTGAAGGGCACTTCACATCCAATATATCGCAATAAGCATTGTGCTTTGGTACTTTTAATATGAAACAAAGTCTCAGATTTCAAATTCTGTCCATTGTATTGCAGTATTCAAACAATAAATGCTGTTTTGGCGCTGTTTAATGTGGAGTGACCGATCGTTGTAGCGCCTCAGTTCAACAGACACGGCAGCACGAGGCGCACGTGAACTAATCATCTCCTCCACATTAATACCAGTTTCAGCACAAAATAAACATGACTAAACATCCGAAGGTAAGTTAAAAGAAAGAGTACAACTTTACAATCCGTATCCTGTCTCATGTAATCGCTCAATCAGTGTTTCAGACGTCAAATATAACGGCTTTTGTAAACAATGTCACGTAACGTCACATTTACCTCAGAAAAA